CACAAATGAAACATTTTTCCCTTACCCCCAAAACAATAATGATATAAATAAATTTCAGAACATGAGTGAATTTTTAAAGCATTAGGCTAAGTGAAAGAAAGCAAATTACTATGTTGATATGATTCAGTTATAATGATTGTTGGTTACCAGCAGCCAGGGATGAAAGGAGGAGACTCTCTGGGAACTTCTTGGCATGATGGTTCTTCAACACTGTGTGACTGATTACAAGTCTGTGTATACTTTCATCAAAACTCATAATATTTTACACCTAAAATTGATGAATTTTACCATATGTAAATTACATCTCAGTAAAACAAATTTTTTTTCCCCTACCTTAAGCTGTTCTAAATCTTAAATCGAATTCCATCACTGGCCATTATTACACAACAAAATTAACTTTCTAGAAATGGTTTTGCTTTCTGTGTACAAAACACCATTATTGAAGTAATCGTAATAAAATACAAATACTAGGCTAAGAACTTTATTAACTTTTGTTTCAAATTTTATTCCCAGGCTTCTTTAGCGGCAAAGAGTGAATTATATTTAAACAGAAACTGAAAAGAGCTGCAATGTCCAAAACGCTTGTTGGGCTTAAAAATATGAGAGATCTAGATTTTAACAGATCCTTAAACAAAACAATCTTATAAAGCAGTCATAATATAAAATAGTAGCTCAAAGTAACTTCATCACGTTTTGGCTTCTTCAAAAGTTGACACAAATCAGTTGGCCTCATTCTTTGAAGCCTCATCAAAATTCTTCACAAGATCCGGAACTTCATCATCATCATCCTCTCCAGTAGCAAGTGGTGCTTTTCCATCCACAAATTGTTTGGGCAGGGCTTGAGCCAGTCTTCTTAAACTACTCAGGTTATCTGCAACCAAGCTGGTTTAAGATGTTGGGTATCATTTCTGTCAGCTGCTTTGTCCCAGCATGGCCGGTAGTGGTGAGAGTGTTTACTACCAGAGATGCCCGAACGCTTTAGAATTATTCAAGTGGATCACTGTTCCTTGATTTGTAAATATATTCACCTCATTAATACCAGAGATACTGTTTACCCCTAATTTCTTTAAGGAGAACTGAAGTTTTTTTGTCATCTGCTGTAGCTATTCTATGAACCACCTTCTTCTTTCTGCGAACAGTTTCTTTTTCACCAGTGTTCACTTGTGCTTGCAGTTTGGCAGATTTCTCCTGATTCATTTCTTTAATCTTGTCAGAGAGGAAATGGGGCTGCACAGGGGTCTAGGGCTAGCACTGAGGGGTTCTTTTGGCAGACCAGCTAAGATAGGCTGCACACGAGGAAACAGAAGATGGCAGCTCTAAAACTAATTTTTTAAAAATTATTTCTCTTAGCCCTGGTATAGTCACACAATGGAATACTGTGCTGCATTGAAAAACAAGGAAC